AATGCTGACTGTGATGTAAATCAACAATGGCATAAACAAAATATGTTTGCCTTTTGTCTAGCTTTAAATAGATGATCTTTATTGGTACCTATCGCTACATCATTTCTGGGTGGTCTTTATCAAGTCCTTTTACCCATCTTGGCCTCAGCTTCTCTTCTCCATGATTTGGTTTGTGTATTTCAATTGTAAAATCTTTGGCATAATGATCATATTGGGAACAGCATTTATCCAACTGAACAGTATTATCTGCATCTCTCAACTAATGCATCTGAAACACCTGAGAAACCCTGAGTTCCTATTTATTTTTAATTGAGTGGATTAATGCAAAAAGAAGTTACTCTGTACCTCCTTCACCGTAAGTCAAGGGACTGAAATCAAGTCCTGTTCAAATACTTCTTAAGTCACATGATGTAGGGCTTTCTGTTTGAGGAGATAGCATTTTAAAAACAGGTCTCTTACTGGAGGAGCCTGCTTTGGAAACACACCCCTGAACTGTCATGCTCTATAAAATACACCTGAAGTTAATCTGTTCAGACAAGCCTATTATTATTAGCTTCAAGATTATTTTCTTAAGCTTGCTGTTAAAGAGAAGCAGTGACAAGTGTGAGTATGTATTACTAGGCACCCAGTAGCCCCATTCTAACAAGGGTCACCACATTTTCTCCTCATTTATCAAGTCCTTTTACCCATCTTGGCCTCAGCTTCTCTTCTCCATGATTTGGTTTGTGTATTTCAATTGTAAAATCTTTGGCATAATGATCATATTGGGAACAGCATTTATCCAACTGAACAGTATTATCTGCATCTCTCAACTAATGCATCTGAAACGCATTTCTGAGAAACCCTGAGTTCCTATTTATTTTTAACCTGAGAAACCCTGAGTTCCTATTTATTTTTAATTGAGTGGATTAATGCAAAAAGAAGTTACTCTGTACCTCCTTCACCGTAAGTCAAGGGACTGAAATCAAGTCCTGTTCAAATACTTCTTAAGTCACATGATGTAGGGCTTTCTGTTTGAGGAGATAGCATTTTAAAAACAGGTCTCTTACTGGAGGAGCCTGCTTTGGAAACACACCCCTGAACTGTCATGCTCTATAAAATACACCTGAAGTTAATCTGTTCAGACAAGCCTATTATTATTAGCTTCAAGATTATTTTCTTAAGCTTGCTGTTAAAGAGAAGCAGTGACAAGTGTGAGTATGTATTACTAGGCACCCAGTAGCCCCATTCTAACAAGGGTCACCACATTTTCTCCTCATCATTTAGTCTATTTCAGAGCATGTAGAAGCAGTGACACTGATGGTAGGTAGGTTGAGAAGTCCATTTCCAGACATCCCTTCCAACCTCACCCATCCTGTCAACTCGATATTCCTCCCGGGAGGGAACACCACACAATGCCCATGCAGAAGACAACTGAAAATTTTGTGTTTACTTTATCCATAAAGCACATGTAGATCCTTTGGTTAAAACTTTACACTGCAAAATTTTTGCACAGGTTATATAAAATTCCTGTCTTAACTCAAAATTACTGAATTAAAAATTAAAAGAAGCTGAGATTTCTACATGCTGCTGCTTTATTTAAAAACAGCGGCAGCGTTCCTATCTGAAACAGCCCAGCTTATATCTCACCAAGAGAGATTAGTATTATCTTTGTTCTGGTTAGTGGATTTTTGGATTATAAAATCCTTACACAGTTAGCCTTTCATGAAGCATTGTTAGGGATTAAAAACATCTTCATGAACATGTTCTCATATAATGAAATCATAACAATTCAACTTCATTTTACCCAGAGCACAAGAAGCGTGCCAATTAAAAGCTCCGTTTTGAGAGTTTAATATTGGCATGTTGAAAACGGGTTAGGCAATAAACTAGCAAAAAAGATTCTCAGCCCAGAAAGGATTTTTTTTTTTTTTTATGTCAAGCACACTTTAAATCTCCTAAGCTGTTTATAATGATAGAGTTGCCAAAAATAACCCAGCAAAAAAAAAAACCAACAAAAACCAACACAACACTGAATTGGCTGCATCTGTTATAGAATACAAAGAGCCCCAAAACACTGTGGAATATTAGAAAAAGCTTTTTAAAAAAACACCCAAAAACAAGATGTAAAGATGGTGCATTCTAGCGGGCTTTTTTTTTTTTTAATTGTACACAAAACTCAGTACATCCATCTCAGGTACAACTGTGTCTTCATATTCATGAACAGTAGCATTGCCTGTGAGTAGATATTGTGATTTTTTTTCAGTCAAAAAGTACCACAACAGCATCAAATCTCACGATGAAGTCTTTCAGACAACAGGTTCTCAGCACACTGACTACTCTCTGACATCCTCATCAACACCTCCTTCCAAATTAATATGGTTTTAATGTGCAGCAGGACCTATTCTGGTGGCACAGAGCCCAGCACAGGCCCCACTCTGGGCAAACCTCAGTGAGACCAGCACCTTCTTTTGGCCCTGTTTGGCAGAGCGCATTGAGAATCTCCGTACTCTCAGCACTGCACAGTTACCTACAGCTGGTTTTTTGGTTTGCCTGGTTCTCAGCACACTGACTACTCTCTGACATCCTCATCAACACCTCCTTCCAAATTAATATGGTTTTAATGTGCAGCAGGACCTATTCTGGTGGCACAGAGCCCAGCACAGGCCCCACTCTGGGCAAACCTCAGTGAGACCAGCACCTTCTTTTGGCCCTGTTTGGCAGAGCGCATTGAGAATCTCCGTACTCTCAGCACTGCACAGTTACCTACAGCTGGTTTTTTGGTTTGCTTTTTTTTTTTTTTAATTATAACAGCTGACTACTTCTATGAGTCTCTTGCCCAACTCTGTGCAGCCTAACACAAATTAAAGGAGACATGGTGAGAACATTAAACAGGTATCTTTTGGAAGAGGCACAATGAGACTCAAGGTGCAATTTCATGCTTGGTTAAAGGCAGGCTACAACTGCTGCCACTGAAATAGGAGTCTACCTTCTCTCTGTGCTTATGTTGGCTCTGAAGCTGCATGGCGAGGGGGAGCAGCTTCATAACTCGAGGGAAAATGAACTGTGCTCCCCCTCAGCCCCAGTTCCTCAGCAGTTACTGCTGCCATCAGTGTGCAGACAGGACCAAACGATGGGTGGCTTCTCATTTTGGCACCAGGCAGACTTGGAATAACACATCAGTCATGAAATATCAGATATCACCAATAAGGTATTATTTTTCAGTAACGTATACCTTGTTCACAGTTGGTCCAATTTTCATAGGGACAGCAAAAAAAACAATTTACCGTTCCCAGCTCAGAAGCAAAACATTATTTTAAAGAAAATAATTCTATGGTAATATTTTCTCCAGTTTTCTTCTCTGAATAAATTATTTTCCTTGCAATTTTCCTCAGGTTGCTGTAACATAACACATATTTCAGCCTGAGGTGTTATATCTTTGCTGTTACAAGCAAAGTCCAGATCCTTCTATGCTTCATAGAAGCTTCTATTCACATCTTGACATATGAATATAGATGCGAACCTATAAAAGCTCCCAGCACGCCCCACACAAAGATGCTGGCTCTCATTTCTCTTTAATGAAGGAATTTCAATATATCACTAACTGGAACTTTCTGGACATTCTTTAGACCATTAGCTGTCATAAAACCCTTTGTGTACTTCTGCAAAAATTGATCAATCTGTGATTGATCTACATAAACAACTTAGACTTCCTCCCTTTACCTACTTGTGAGTTAGGTTTTAATATATTCATCTTAAAATGCTACCTGGAATGCTCATCTATGCCGCCCATGCCACTAAAACAAAATTCCAAAGGATTTATAGAACTAATTGTGTGTTAGAATTGATTATTACATGACACTGATTATGGTAAGCAACCGTATACTTAATTTTCCAGTTGGAATTTCCACTTGACAGCTTCATGCAGCAATGTGCCAGAACTGAATATTAAGGTTTGACTACGTGCTAAAGCAATTAACTTAATCCCCAACATTTACAGGCATATTAATTAAATTTATGGACTCTTTCCTCTCTCATTCCCATGCTAATAAATTGCAAAAAAAAATAAGCTCTTTCCAAAACTACCATATATGAATTATGTACATAGCACATCTAGCAGAAGATAAAGCATTTCAGAATTCATTTAGTGTGTGAAGAAATTAAGTTTAGCACAATATTTAAACGTGCTTAAAGATAAGAGCCAGGTACGTAAGTGATAAATAGATACATCGCGATAATCGGAGGATAAATTGCATTGCTTATTTAACAAAAAAACCCCAACAAAACAAAGCCACCACCAAAGGAAGAACACAGTTTATCTCCCATAAGAAAAGCTGTCTCCCGTACTTGTTTGGGAACACTGGATTATAAGTAGGTTACAGGATTGCTCACATTAGAAGAATAAAGTCTCATGTGCCATTTTCTCAAATCAGTCATCGAATTTACAACAAAATAGAATGAAATCAGATTGAAAGAAACAAATTATAAGTCCAGTCTTGAAAACACTTTTCTGCATAAACTATAATACAAACTATTTCCAGACTGGAGATGAGGAAAATGCAGCACTGCTGCTGATTCAGGTGCAAACTGAACACTACGGTACAGCACCATGAAAACCAGGAAACAATGTGGTAACGGTGAACACAGAATTATTCAGAACCAGCATTACTTCTGTTTAAATTATGATCAAGGAGTAGAAAACATTATTAAGTTACTCATTTTGGCAGTTATTTTTTAAAATGCCAATTTTTCAAATTGTAGATATTAAAATAAAATAATAATAAAAAAACCTCAGAAATAGCAAAGTCATATAATTACTGAACATTCCAGAACCAACTCTTTACAACCATCCCCTCAAAAATAGCAAAGTCATATAATTACTGAACACAACATTCCAGAACCAACTCTTTACAACCATCAATGAAATTTACTGAAACATTAGCAGGAAATTGCAATACGCTACATTGTATACATAGTGATAAATATTTTTAGGAAGGTATTTTAACACTTTTATGACTTACCAGCAGTGAAGTCATTATTTAAATCTATAAAGGCATGGGAGTGTGGTATATACATTTTACTTGGAGTATCCAGTGCAGCATGCCATGATAAGTTCCTACAGACAAGAATATAAAGAAATATATTTCATCAATGCTTAGGGACTGTTAATCATGATAACGTATCTTTATTAAAAAAACCCTTGTAAAACAGAAAGCATGTTCTCTAATGCTAAGCTACAATTACTACTTAGCTTACAATATACTAACTAACTAGGGTAATTGTTTGAAAGGTTCTGTAAAAGATGATTCATAGCAAAGGGGCTGCAGTTAGATTTTTATTAACTTTCTAAAGCAACTCTTTTTCTTACACACAAAGTGTCACTGCCCACAAAGTGAAATTTGGTGCCTAGACTTCAACTGTAAATCCCGAGACACGGATCGCTGTCCTCCCCACTTTCCTCAAGCAGTTTTGCTACCAGTACTTTTGAAGTCTATTGTAGGTTTAATGGAGATGAGCAAAAATGCACATCATTACGTACTGTTAAAGCAGCTCATGCCTGTTGCATGTAAATGGACTTTATTTTCAGTCACTTAAAAAAGACACAAATGAACAGCACAAGGATTAAACTCTCACATTATGATGGACTACAGGCTAACTATGTCGCTTCCCAAGCAGGTGATACTTGTATTTATTTATCTTAAAACATACATGCCCTGCTTGTTTCTGTTCTAAAAATGACTGAACTTCCAAACTTCCCTACTAGCAGCACATTTAAATGTAACAAATCCTTCCAAAGTCACAGCAATTGAATCAGACATGTTAGTTTCAGAACCCGTAGCCAATACACTCAGAAAAATCTTCATGTGCACTATACGTAAGCAAGACCAATATTACTACTCTCTGCTTATTCCAGTGACATTACATACATATTACTAAAGTCCTTAAGAAAAAAAATAAGCTTCTGATTACTTCCTACAGATCATAACTAAATCTTAGAAATGTTAAAGAGAATCACTTAAAGAAATATTTAATTATTTTCTATAAGTTTTTCTAAGTATTCAGTTTTGAAGATAGCCAAAGAAGTTAGTTATACAGCTCTAGTATAAATATAAAAACATTTTAGATTAAAAATAGAAAAATGCTTTTTTAAGGAGGTAAGATAAAGCTGTTTCCATATACAAGACATTGCTTATGCTGTTACCTATAGCACTCAGTCTTACTTTGAGCTCCAAGTAAGCTTACTTGTATCCTAATGCTACTGGAAGGATTTCTTCAACTAAATGAAACTAGGCTCTCCCACTTTTCCGTATCTTCCAAAGTCCATAAGGTTTTTCTATATATGGCCATTGCAAGGTGTTCAGAAACACCCTTGTGAATTTGAAATCTCTGTCCCATAAGCCATTAATTTAAGTAAAAGCAATGGTGATAAAATTCAAGTTGGGATTAATGACCAAAACCATGTCGTCGAGAGGGGTATAGTTTCCATTTACACATTTAAATGTCATTTACATCACTTCTGAATCATCTCTGAGGAAAGGAAAATAGCCACTTAGGAACAACACGTATAGATTTATTAAACTCACTGATGAGGTGTGGGGGGGAAAGCCTTATTTAAACATTTCTTAAGGGCCATGAGATGCAGGAGAGAAAGCTGATATATTGTTGCCATAGAGACAGAGTGATCATCTCATTGATTTCTCCAGTGGTAACAGACCTCTTTGGAAACAATAGCTAAAGAAAACCACATAGCAATGCACAGACTTCCTAACACAGTCTTTCTTTTAAAATAAACTTAATTATTGATTGCATGCAAACCTAAACCAACTGTGATTTCTCCTGAAACACACAGAGCTGCAAGTTTCTCTGTTAATGTTACTAATGGACATTCAAGACAATCCTGTCAAGTTCCACTTAAAAGCTGCAACATCGCAAGTTAGAAGGTGCAAATGTCTTCAAACACCTAATTTAAAGGTCCAGTCTTCTAAGAAAATACAAGCTCAGTTCCTAATTTTTCCAATTAATCATTGGTAATTATTCATTATCAGTCAAGAGAAAAATAGGTCAAAAATAAAATATCAAAAGAGTGGTTTTCATACCATCACAAAGCTAAGAACAAGACATTTATTTTGACATATATAATCCAACTTGTGTTCTAAAAGTATTTTTTATCTTTCGAGCACGTTCTCTGACAACTGAGAGAGAGATCTCTAAATCAGGGCAAGAGTCCTAATTCAAGCACCCTTCTTTTGAGGCCCAAACCCACAAAACTATCAATGAAGTTCTTCCTTAAAAAAGTCAAAGACTGAACGTATGCTGATTCACTTTGGCAGAAGTCATAGGAAAAGATGTACAGACCCATATTTTTACCTGTTAAAAAAAAAAAAAGAAGCAATCCTGTTCAATAATGAAACTTTTACTAACTCTGAGTCACACCAGTTTGTGTCCTTGAATACATAATCCTAACATCTTCTAAAAGCCAAAGCTTTCTTTTTCTTTATCAGACTACAAACTTCAAAAGCATTATCAGGAAAGCTGAACAGAATGTGAACTGTTCTTCTCCAGGGTCCAGTAGTGTTTTTAACAAATAACTTATTTTCAAAAGACAGATTTAAAGTTCTTCGGCATCTGGCCCAGTATAAGAGACGTTGCTACTCCTTAATTTTTTGTTTCATTTTAGAGACTAGTTCTTCTGAGTCAGTAAAGGTCCACTCCTCTGTTCTGCTGTGATTTCAGCAGTCATACCCCAAACAGTTAAACAAAAATAATCCTTTGCACAGTCCTTTATTAACCATTTAAATATGCTATTAAAATCTTTTTTATCCCAGTATTTGCTAGCCAGTCCCATTCTAGAAATTCCAGGGCTAGCAGAAGCTTCAATAATGAAACTTAGTCCCCTTTACTGCAATCTCATAAGACTTCAGTCAACTTTTATTTGCTGAAGAGTGGCCTCAGCTGTTCCTTAACACCACAGATGCAGTACAGAGAGCATCGCTCGCACACGCTTCTATTGCTGCTTAAAGTCGCCTCTGCCTTATGTCTCTTTATGAATCTCTTTCCCCAATAAGCATACCAAATATTTACCTTCATACCCTTACACTTTGCACTTCCTGTGCTTTTGATTTCCCCTGTTGTCTAACCTTCCCATTACAATTAATGTCATAGATAAATGACAGCTGAATGGTTTTTTTTGTTGACCTCAAACTCTTCCTTTTGCCATCCCTTATAAGATCTGTTACATGAGATACTTCTTGCATCAACTTGTCACTTCATCTATTAGATGAAACGTAGATTAGAAACTTTGCTTTGTATTTTTGTACAGCACAGAATTCCATAATACAGATTACAATAAATATTAAAGCTGACTAAACAAAGGAGACTAAAACTGTTCCAAGGAACAATTATTTCTCATGTCAAACAATTTCTTTTCCCAGTTCTCACCGAATGTCTACTTCTCCTATAAAACAACTTCTTCCTCTGTAAAATAACACTTTAAAAATTAAGTGAATATTGTCACAGACTGTTTAAAGATACAGATGGAAATGAGAGAAGATGCGTATGTTTGCACAGTTCCAGTCAAACACGAGTCTGATGCCTCTTTAATAAGAACAGAAGTGGATGAACAATGAATAAGTTATTGAAATTCATGCTAATAAACAAACCCTCAGCTTCACAACCAATAAGTTATCAAAATTCATGCTAATAAACAAACCCTCAGCTTACCCGCCTATCAATATCTGGGGCTTACTTGAGTCACTTGTGACACCAAAGACGTCAGGAATCAAGTCTCCATTAAAGCTGAAAATACAAAACAATTTCAATATTGCCTTAGTCGTTATAGTAGTTGAAATTAACTGTTCTTAAGTTAACCTGCATTTGGTTGGCATTTTCTCACCAAGCAATGAGGAATTTTAACTGTGCAGTCTTTTCTGAATTTTGGCTCATTTGAGCTGCTGGTAGCAGTGCACTTCTTTCAGTATTTTACACTATGCCATACATTTGATTTTCCACCTTTATTTCCCCCCGTCTTTTGTTCAGCATTTCACACAAAGGGAAGTGCACCATGAAAGGGATATTTGCTCAGTCTGATAAGCCAGTAAGGTTTTTGTTTTACAAAATTCACCCCAAAATGAATGGCTATTTTTCTGCATAAAACGGATTACTGAAATTAAAATAAACTTAAAAAATGGTTTTAGATTTTTTAGTTACTATTGCCAGGATGATACAATATACAAGATTTGTAAAGATGACTTATGTTTCATCATCTTCTAGCAGACCAGTTGACATTACACAAACCACCCAGTTCTTAAAAGATAAAGAGCATGTGTTTCAAATTTTACCGTTGAATTATATTTAAGTTGCTCTTAGTCACCATTATAAATGTTGTTTTCTAAAAAAGTAGGTCATACTTACTCCATTACTAGAGGTTCATCATGAAAAGTCTTATTTAACATAGTTTTATGGTTAAGATCTGAAAACAGAAAACATTCATTTGATTCAGTTACAAATATGTTACGACATTTACATTTTTAACTTAAACATAATCTATTAATATACAACCATCAATTTTATGATTAAAAAAATAATCAGCCACCACTGAGCATAAACAACTAAATGGCTTCCTGAAATTATGCAGGAAAGGTGAGTTACAGTTAAAATACTGAAGCTTCTTCTCTCTCCACTGAACCCCTCAACAAATTATTCTAAATAGATCTTATTGAAACCTCTTTCTGTGTGTGACTGCAATCATACAGACACACGAACTCAGAAACAGTTGGGATGAAGATACTTTAAAGATTAGAGGTCAACTGCCTAAGTGGGAAGTGAGGATTTTAAGTCCTAATCTGATTATCACCTCTCACTCTTCACTTTTACTTGTAATCCAAACTCCTTGCCACATCATCCCTATTTCCTTCACCTCTCCCTAATGTTTGTCTTCTTTCCAGTTTCCACATTTTATGTGACAGTACCCTCCTATTGACTTGTCACACTTCCATTACCCAAGTAGGCACCACATAACTCCCCTGTAGCCTCACTACATTCCAGCCATTGCCTGAGTTTTTAACCTCTGACTCCTTTTCTAATCCCCATATGCTCATTTGTACCTCTCCCTAGAATTGTTTACTCAGAAGCGAGGCAGCACAAATTAATCCAAATCCTTCTTGTTCTTCCCAAAACTACAGATACCCCCTTTTCTCTTAATACTTGATGCAGTGCACTTTCCCAGGTTGCATGTTTCACCCCTGATCAAAGCCAGAAGCAGTGGTACCTAAGGTCATCACTTGCCTCACCTGTAACTATTTCATAACACAGTTCTTTATACTAGTGATTACTCTTCAGCAGTTTTTCTGGACTTAAGAGACTTTTTCTTTTCTGTCCTTCTTCAAACCCTAAACTCTTCCCCAAACCCTTTCCTAGCAAAGTCCACAGAAAAAAGACTTCAAGATGTCAGAGTTCAGAGCTATGAGAAGTAGGTCTCAGTTAGTGGGTTACTATCAAACTGTAATATCATTCAGTTATGTCTGTTCCATGATATAAAGCGAGAGTTTTAGCTTTGTTCTCTTTCATTAATTACTGAATACAATTTAACAGCAAGATAGTACATAGGTACAAAGCTGAATAGCTGCTAATCCCTATTTCAGTTGTAAAATCAACTACTACACTGTAAAATGAGTCATAACTTTCTGACAATACTTTGAATTATTAAGAAATCTTATTAATAAGCAGTCTCAGCAACTCACGACAATACTTTGAATTATTAAAGTCTAACAATCTTATTAATAAGCAGTCTCAGCAACTCACCCAATGTTTGGTTGTGCCCCCAGAAAATAAACACTGAAAGTTCATCTCTGCCATGATTTTGTGCCCGGGTAGTCAGGAGGACATCCATTTGTGAATCACCATCGTAATCCCCAGGAACTACACTGGTTATGGTAACACCGAGAGATCTAGATTTAAAGAAGAACAACCACCAAACCATAACCACCACTTGCAAATAATTGTACAAATGTGTGCATGAAAACTGAAAGTATTTGTGTGTTCAAAGGCTTGTCTTTTAGTCCCAATTATTATTAGTTGGTCCAACACACTATTATCCTTCAACAACCTGGCTTTATTTTAAAATTTAAATTTTGCAAAAGTAACTTTAAATGAAGCATTCTGCGGTCTGTCTTCCTCCAAGAAAGGATGACATTTTTAACTCTAAACTTCAGCCAAGAGGCATTCTTCAGCCATATCATAGCTCATTTGTTAAAGCTATCTAGATTTCATTAAATGCTTTCATTTGCTGTAGAGCTGGTCCTCAAAAAAATATGTTTCAGAGAGCAGGATCTTTTGGTTGCGTTCCAAGAGCACGACCGTGAAGCAACAGGAGCAATTTAAGCAGGAGTCAGACAGACAATTAAATTGTTTTAAAGACAATGTCATCTCCTCCCATCTTCTGCCACGTCTTACCACTCCTCCCTACATTTGTTTGTTCTTTCCATCTTTCTTCATTTGTTTACCTACTCAGAGACTCTGCTTTACACACACACACGGATCATTCTGTTAAGACTTAAAAGCAGATAATTTCCAATGCACTAAACAAGCTCCTTCCAAGACAGGAGGGAATAAGGAAAACACAGATACATAGAACAACAGAAAATGAAGCTGAGCTATAACAGTAATTTAACTTTTAATAGACGTAATACTATTAGTAAGCATTCTTCATAAGCAATAACATACCCTGTAATACTATTATGGTTACAACTCTGCATATGTATGTACATAAACACACAGCTTGTTTTACATTTATTAAGAAATGATGCTTTTTTTAAGCCACATTTAAACTTCAGAAAGGAACAGATCTCTGTACAGAAATGCCAGAATACCATTCTCTATATTTCTAAAGCAGATGATATTGGCTGGATTCCATTAGCAACTACATGAATTTTCCTGAAAACATGTCTAGGGATAGAGACGAATACTACCTCCCCAAAAGACTTAACCTATGATATGAAATGATAGTTTATGTTACCAGGAAATAAAGTCCTGAAAAAAATAAGGAAACTGGTTAAAGAACTGGAGCTCTAAGGGCAAGTTGACCACCACATTCAAACAGCACAAATGATTCCAGTCACACTCCCACCCACTGCAGAGACCCACTTCCAAGAAAAACGGGCACTTGGACTGTTTCACCATCACGTATCAATACTTACTTCATTGGTAACTTAACACGGGGCTTAAAGTAGGGCTCCTTTTGGTCAGCCAGAAAGATTATCAACTCATTTCCTGCAAAAGCAAGTCAGACGATGAATAACAGATGAAGCCTGTAAAATGGTTTATATGCAGAAACAACATTTAAAAAGCTACGCCACAAATAGTCATCCCTCACAGCAGCAAAAACTTTTTAAAGACTTCCCATACAGCTACCTCCTCCTCATTCAAGATAAAGAAGCACTTCTTTGATACAACCTATAAATCTAATTGCATCTCAAGGGGATGCTAATAGCAAGAATCTTCTTTGGGGCTCAGTGTTAAGACTTTCTCTCTGCTATTGTTATCACATCACTTAAAATAAAATTTCCTATAATGAGTTAGGAAACATTATATGTGGAAAAGTAGTAGGCATCAGTTCCACACAAATAATTAAGGCTTAAAATCTAACTCGAATTCTTTAATGCCACCTCTGCCACAGCAGGATGTGATACTGCTTCCCAAGTCAGGTGACAAAAGCACTTTGAGTCAAACTCACAGAAGTAACCTGGTTCCCTGCAGCATTTCCTCATTCAGAGGCAATGATACAAGCCACTATCCTTTAATTGTTTCAGGAAGATCTAAATAAATTCCCATATTTTGTGTTGTATAAATAATTGCATTTTGGGAAAGGAAAAAAAAACATTGACCTGAACAATGAAATGTATTTTGTCAGCAAACCACAATACACATGCTCTACTTCTGCAAGTAAAATAATAGTTCACAGCTGAAGTAAAAAAACACAGCTGAAGTTTTTTACTTGTCCCTTATTATGTTTGTTTTCGGCATTCTCCAAGAAATCTGCTTGTAGCATCCCCAACTGCAAGAACTCAATTACCTAATCAAAAGTAATTCTAGGGCTCCAAACCTGAGCCACCACAGTGTATTTCAAGAGCATCACTCTGTGGCAAAGTTCACAGCTGGGAAATAGCAGAATACAAGCTTCCTGGCTCTGAAAAAAAATAAAAGGTAACTGCCATAAACGTATTTGCCAAGGAGAATATGCCAACAAGTGAGTCAATGAAAACAAACCCTGTCAAAACAGTTAAGGGTGAGCAGCACTTGTCCCTTATCATGTTTGTTTTCTGCGTTCTCCAAGAAATCCACCTGTAGCATCCCCAACTGCAAGAACTCGATTACCTAATCAAAAGTAATTCTAGGGCTCCAAACCTGAGCCACCACAGTGTATTTCAAGAGCATCACTCTGTGGCAAAGTTCACAGCTGGGAAATAGCAGAATACAAGCTTCTTGGCTCTGAAAAAAATAAAAGGTAACTGCCATAAACGTATTTGCCAAGGAGAATATGCCAACAAGTGAGTCAATGAAAACAAACCCTGTCAAAACAGTTAGGGGTGAGCAGTGCAGTCCCGCCTGGAAAGCTAATAAAGCCACTAGACCTTCACAGGTGACTGAAGAGGTTGGCACACGGAGTGGTGAAGAAGTCTGCTGGCTGCTTAAGCTTTTCCTAATAAAGCAGTGGGTGACTGCTAAAACTTGTAATTCTGCTTTCACACCATAGACTTCCACCTGCCTTTTTGCCATCAACGTGGTAAAGTAACAGCAAACCTGTTTTTACACATACCAGGTTCCAAGTCAATTACACCACTCAGAAATGAGATTTTTACGGTCGCTAAAGGTAGATTTACGAAAATTTCAGCTCAGCGTTCATCGACAGCCAAAACAACCTGACTGCTGGAAAATATTAGAAGACCAGAAAATAAAATCACTATGGCACTACATCAATCCACAGTGCACACATCCTTGATGCTGTTTGCAGCTCTTGCCCTCTCATCTCAAAAAGAATACAGAAGCAAGGAAAAAAAGGAAACAGTTTCTATACAGACAGGCATTTTTGTTTGTATAGAAATTTCTATACACTCTATTACACAGATCAGAAGTCTTCAGTCTGAACACCCGCGTGAGGATACCGCAGAAGTTTTCAAAGCCCCCCAGTGAGAGGCAGAAGGATCACTCACTGCCCTGTACTAGTGGCAGAGGCATCAAACACAGCAGGAGGGTGGAAGGTCAAACAGGCAAACATCACAAGCTGCCCCACGGAGCCCTGTTTTGCCATACACTTACAAAACAGGAAAATATACGCACAATTCCATTTATTTGTACATTTTAGTGTCAGACTAAACCCGGGGTCCACTGGTAATGTTGATTTGTTCTTGCAAGAAGATGCTTTTGGACCTAGCTTACCTCTCACCTCTCTTACAAAGCTCCAGGTACAAACTGGTTTTTCTTTCCAGTATCTGAGCCCATGAAACATAACTCTCATTCAAGTCAAACAGGCAAACAGCACGAGCTGCCCCACGGAGCCCTGTTTTGCCATACACTTACAAAACAGGAAAATATACGCACAATTCCATTTATTTGTACATTTTAGTGTCAGACTAAACCCGGGGTCCACTGGTAATGTTGATTTGTTCTTGCAAGAAGATGCTTTTGGACCTAGCTTACCTCTCACCTCTCTTACAAAGCTCCAGGTACAAACTGGTTTTTCTTTCCAGTATCTGAGCCCATGAAACATAACTCTCATTCAAATAAAGCAATTCAAAATCAGAACAGTAACATAACTCCAGCAAAAAGCCCAAGACATCGATCCCAATTTCCTTATTAAAGGTCAGGATTATTAGGGAATGGGCTTCTTTACCGGATCACTGTTCCTCAAAGTCTAGTATGATCTCCAGTGCTGCAGCACTACTGAGAATGGGCTACTGGTTATGCTACTACTTAGAATTCTACTATTCCGAGTTGATTATTACTTTTTGTTTAGAAAGTAATCTGTGATTTTTTTCAAGCTACTTTTTGACTAAGGCTTAAGTTATAAAAAAATGTTTTCAAGTATGTTATTTCTGGCTTATTTTCACAGAGAGTGTCAAGCAGAAAAACTCGAGCAAGTGCTGCTGGGCAGAAGCAGAGAAGAAACTGTAAGTCTCGTTTCTAAAACTTTAAACTATTCACATTTTTATATGCATTTATCTGAAAGATAAGAAAGAAAAATTAAATCTCTTAACACTGAGGTTCATTTTAAATCTAATCTTTCAGGGCATTTTTCCAGTAGATAAGCCAGCAGAGCATTTTGAAGAAGCCATGCATTTAAATACCTCAACTAGACAGGAAATTCACTCATGCTTCACCCAAGTCACTTATAGAAACATTGCTGAGATAGAATGAATAAAAAGGTGAATTTGAAAATAAATTAATTATCTTTAAACGTAGCTTCAAGCGAGTAAAATAATCCAAGATTTGCATCTCTAAATAACAACGACCGCCCATAATAAGCTCTTATTTGGGTCCCTTCCTATCCAAAGTCCAAACAGAAACTCATGGCAGGTGACAGCTGTGTGGAATGCACTTATCAGGCCTTCCACTTGAACAGCACCCTCCAGGCAGGATAACGTGCAATTTATCCTCTTTATAACTATGAAACACTCGTTCCTGTTTCCCAAAATTTTGCAAAAGCAGGAGTGGAAAAAAACAACTCGCGACCGCTCGCTCTGTAGGACAGCCTTTAGATTATTCCACACCTTGGAAGAAAAACTCACAACCGTAAATTCAAAAAATATTTCTTGCCCTGTACGTAGCCACATTCTAACGCAGTGTCTTTTTCCATACAGGAGACGCTTCGGGAGCAAAGGGAATGTCAGTTCTGATCTCAACCAGGAACGATGATGTTGGCCACGGTGGCCCCTCGTCAACCCCGCAGACCCCAACACCGGTGAACGAGCAGGTAGTGACACCGAGCATCAGAGAACAGCTCGATGGTCCCATCGGAAGGGGACCTCTGGGGAAGGGACTCCTGGGGACTGGTCCCAGTCCCCAGGAGTCCCTTCCCCAGGGGTCCCCTTCCCGTGGGACCATCCAGCCCCATTCCCTGCTCCTCGCAGCCCAATTCCCACCAGGAAACCCTTTCCCTACCCACCAACAACGCAGAGAGCACCTCTCACCCCCCGCAGCCGGTGTCCCAGCACACCCCGGCAGGGAGGGAGGGAGCCGGGGCAGGGAGGCCCGGCGGAGGCCCGACTCCCACCGAGCCGCGGGTCTCTGCCAGCCCGCCCCGGTGCCCACAGGCCCGACAGGTAACCGGGAATGCGCCTGGACTACCCAGGAGGGGAAAACCCCCCAGGCGCTGCTCAGAGCCCCCCTCAGGCGGCTGCGCCCCCACCCCCGGTAGGCCCGGCGGCCCCCTCCCGCCGCGCTCACCGCCGCGCAGCACGAACAGGTCCGTCTGCTTGTCCGAGTTGAAGTCTCCGAAAGCCGCCAGGGTCCCGTAGGCCTCCCCCCCGAAGAGCTGCGCGGTGACATTCTGCAGGGCCCGGCCGGGCGCCGCCAGGGCCGCCAGCAGCAGGGCCAGGCACAGGCAGAGCCCGCGGCGGCCGCCCGCCATCCTGCGCCGCCGCCGCCCCCGCCCGCATCACTTACGGCAGCGCCGGGGTGTGCCCGGCCACCACCACCGCCTCGCTTCCGGGACTGACCCGGCGGCTTTGCGACAATGGCGTGACGGCCTGGGCTGAGGCTCTTTACGGCTGCCGTGGGTAACCGGGCGGAGATGGCCGCCCGGCTGCACTGAGGCGGGAGTCGCGGTCCCGGCCGGAGCAGAGTGAGGGGAGCGGCGGGTCCTCATCGCCATGGCGGCGGCGGCGGCGGCAGCGGCGGCGGCCCCTGCGGGGTCCCATTTGGCTGACGTGAGCTGGAAGATGCTGGAGCTGCGGGCTCGCTCTAAACGTTCAGGTCTGACCTCTCGGCTTGCCCTGAGGGGAGCCCCGCGGGCCCCCTCTCCCCTCAGCACTAACCGCCCCCTTCCCGCTCTCCCCTCCTGCCCCTCAGCCCCACTCGAGCTCTCCCCCCACGTCGCCCCCGTGGCTGTTCTCGTCCCCCCTCTCTCTCTCTCCTCCCCAAGCAGCTTGGCGAGCCCCTCTCCGCCGGCCTGGCCCCTGCTGTGCCCCCTACGGCTGCCCTGAGGGCGGGTCACGGCCTGCGGGCCCTCAGGGCGGCTGGGGGGGGCAGGGGGGTGCCCTTGGGGAGCTCCAGCACGGCTGTCCCGGGCCAGGCGAGAGTTTGGGGTGGTTTTTCAGGTGTTTTACAGGTGTCTCTGGGCCGCGGGGCTGTAAAGGGGGCTGCACCCCGCCGCCGGGCAGGGAGAGAGAGTCGTGTTAGAATTGCAGGCGCTGAGGCGAAAGTACCGGCTTTTGCCAGATTCCCCTTGGATAGAGATAAGGGTGGTTTGTTTTTTTTTTTTTGACTTTCTTGTGCTGAACTCAGACTGCGTGGCAGCTAGATTGTGGCCCAAACGAAAGGATGATGTTTACCGAGTTGGCTTGAATTTCCAAAGTTGAAAAAACCCCATTTATTATTTTTAAAAATAAAATACAGTCTTAGCAGGGCTTTAGTTATTGATGTTCTAATGGAAACACTTTTACAAATGATCCCTGGGGTGTTTATTTACATGTCATATGTGCTTGTAAAACTCAATCAGTGTTTCCTTATTTGCATATTTGATTGGTTCTATTGTGGTAATGACTGATCAGACAGTGTGAAAAGAAAACAGGGCTTTATGAGGGCTCTCCTACAGAAAATTGATTGATTAAAGTCTGGTCTGATTCATGTGGCTTTAAAAATTCTACTTATGTATAGTATTAATTTGCAGAACACCATGATTAAGACTATCCAGTAAATGAGTTGTTACTTTGTGGCCAATTATGATTACACAGTACTGTTATCTGAAAATTGAGTTATAAACGTAGCTGTAGAGCTCTATAAAATAAAGTCTGGAACCTGCGTGTTCAGAGTATGTGACTCCTGAGTCACAAGGCAGCGTGCCAACTCTGGGATTCCCATGCAGAACCAATCACTCTGGCTGCAGAAGGCGTTTGGAAGATTTTAAATGCTTTTCTTAACTACTTCTGCCTTCTACTTTATTGTTAAATGTATAAGTGTCTTCTGTAATGACAGATTATTACTGAAGTTCACTTCCTTCCGTTCCTGTTCATAGATTCCTGTCAGTTAGAAATTTATTTACCGAAGAAATAAAGATGATTTTAGTTGAAATGCTTTTCTCGTAAAAGAGTTGATTTAAAAATCAAATTTTATATATAATCTTTCAGGAAGCATTCTTACCTAAAAATGAAAACCATGTCCTTGTTTCTCAAGTTTACTCCTGCATCTTTAGAATTATGTTGAAATTTGTATAACTTCAGAGCTTTTATACTTCCTTTCTGGCACTATCAGAAAGAGACATGGTTGGTGTTGTCGTTGAAAGTGGCTGAAACTCCCCCGTGCTGTTGCGAATTGGCTGAGGACTATGCTCAAGAGTCCCAGTTTACAAACAGTACAGTTTGGTTTGGCTTTTGTTTTTTGTTTTAGTATGATGCTTGGAGTAAGATACAGTAAACATGGGAGTATAGACTCATGTGCCTGAATTGCATGAGTGATTCATGTTTTGTAGCTGACAGCAAAGTATCATTTAAGACCCTATCCAGTAGGAGGTAATCCATATCTTTATGTTTACATATATTAAATTATGAATTACATTTTTGCCAGTAATAACAAATTTTATTCAGAATTTTTTCTTTCCCTTGAGCGATAAAATACTGCTTCATTCATTGCTACTGTGATAATTAACAGTTAGGAGCAGATTATAAAGGTATTCAGTAGTTGGCCAGTCTGCAACCCCTGAATTTTTGATTACTTTAAAAGGCATAAACTTCTTTAAAATTTGGAAAGAGCTGTTATAGTTACAAAGAGTATTTTCTTAATTTACATTTCAAACTCAGAGAGGTTCTCCTTCAAGTAACTGAGATGTTCAGTAGCGTAAGCAATATATATGGCTGCAAGCAACATCCTAGTGTAAATTCTGCATGGGTTAAAAGCAGCACTATGCATAAGCAGAATTTTAGCTACCTGTGCTTACTATTGCTTGATACTTTTTTTTATATGTTATAGTAATATCAGTATTTTTATTTAATCTTGAAATATATCAAATAGATTTTTTCAGCACCTTTTGATGTTAGTAGTAAATTTCCTGTTGAATAACAAAGCTCCTGTCTAGTGTCAAAAGATGGACTTTGTGTAGACTGTCATTTTACTTGGTTTTGTGAAAGTAAAAGCAAAACAAACCCAATTTTTAGGGTAGAAGAAGAAAACATAAAATGTGATGAAACGTCACTATCCTTTGTGCTGTGCACACTGTCATGTTAATAACTCCACTAACGTTGCTTTCACTTAATTTAATGCTGATTGCCTTTAACATTTACTAAACAGTTTTGCAAATTGCTGTAGCTTAGCCTGAGACGTTTGTGATTAGCTGCACCAATTTGAAATGGCCAATTTGGATGATGACAGAACCTCTTCTGCGCATGCTTTTTTAAAATTTGGTAAGTGTGCAGTTCTGTGTATTGTTTTTGTTTGTGGCTATTTAACTCAACAAAAAATAATTGTGTGTTTTGTGTTTAATGCAGTGTTTTGTGCCAGCAATTTTTTAGCACTGTACAGTAGAACCTAAAAATTTGAGCTCTTTCAGTAAAAATTTTTGAAAATTGAAATCTACTTGGATTGAAATCTAAGTTGAGATCTTCCTATTTTATTTGTATTTTGTGTTCTTGTAAGTATCTCTCATTGTAACAGTATCTGAACTGTAATTTCTCTTTTAAGATGATGTTCACGTGAAAGGTGCACTAAGAATCATGTTTAGATTTAACTCCTTAAAAACCCCAATGTGACTGGTTTCCAGAAAAAAAGTAAAATTTCCAATAAGCCATTGTTCCAAAGTTGGACTTGTGGAAATTAAGTGGAAGCAAAATAAAGCCCCCTTGGCACAACTTCTCTTTAGAAGCTAGACTATATGAAGTTGTCAAGACCATTACTGGCATTGTAATAAAAAAATAACCCTTTCCTTATTATTATATTGATAATTGAGGTTTCTGTTGTTATGATGCAAAGCGAATATTTTTATTAGTTTTAAGAGCTACTGTTTTGAATTTTCAGGAAGGGCAGTGGCTGCCTTGAATACCCTGCATGGTTTCCTGTCTTGCTTGTAGCATTGGCAAGGCCTGTGTGGTAGACCTTGACATTTTGGTGTATTTTCATGATGTGAAGCTCCTGTGTACTGGTGTGATGGTCTGTGTTTTATTTTTGGTGTTCGGTCACTTCTGTGTGTTGTTAGTTACTGTAAACCCCAAAATCAGAAATTTCCATTAATTACAATATACTGTAGAGGGAAGTCACTTCAGATGATGAGGAAATAGAGAAAGGACAAAATAAATTGGTACATATTTTTCTTTTCCAATGAAATTCAAATGGACTTACCTGCACAGTCTAACGTGATTTTTCTTGATAAACGATAGTTGAAATGTTTTGTCATGTCAAAACTGTTTAAATGAAACTGTTACAAGATTTTACTTATTTTTACCTGTGTTGTTATCGTCACTGAACCTAGGTAACACGTTGTACCTTTTGTGTGCTCCTGATGTTTACTCAGATAGAGAAATACCTTAATACCTTTTTCTTATCCTCCCCAGCCCCTCTCCTGGGGCTTCCTGACCGTGTTTTCGTTGAATTGGAGAACAGTTTGGTTTGGAAGGGATGTTAAGAGGTCATCTGCTCGAGCCTCTGGCTCAAAGCAGGGTCAGCTATGAGATCGCAGTTTCATCCTGTATGTACCTTGCTCGACTACATGGGTTTGGACTTAGAAGCAGGTGTAGTTCATGGCAGACAACTATGAAAATAAACTGCCTTGTATCCAAGAATGTTGGATTAACATGGTACTGTATTAAGTCTGAGGTCAGGAAGGAATGCAGGAGAAGTCTTGAGGGAAAGGAAATGTGATGTTGGGAGGATACAGTTTGCTCATGTGGTATCATTTCCTAAACTTTGCATGGAGAAATAAAATCCCCTTTGGTCCCAATGACTTTTGTAATGTGAAGATGATATATCCCACACTAATATTGGGTAACGAAAGTTACTGTGATCTGAGATCCATGTCTCGAGGGTTGGATTACATCCAGAACTAGTGTCACATTAAAGGACTGTGGTCAGTTTTTATTCTTGTCAAATCTGGAAAGAAATCTGGTATTCCCAGTTGGGTTTTTTTTTGTTTGTTTGGTCTGTGCTGATTTAATTTTGCGAGTATACATTTTCTTTTGTTCTTGAGGCATGTGAAGTGTTGGAAATAAAATTCTTGCCGAGTTGCTTCCATTTGTTTGTGATTAAACTTTGGGAGGGAGTGTGTTTGTTTTTTTAACATTCTGTACTTTGAAAACTAATGAATCTTTGTTGAGATATGCAAATCTTCACCCACAGACTGGGTCCAGGATTCCATTGTGATGCCTATTTTTCTTTAATATCTGCAGTTGCTGCCATCTTCAAGGATATGCTTATATTCAAAGCTTCTGTACAATACAAATTTGGGAGCAGATTTTCAACATG